TTTTTTTGGTCTTTTTGAGACAGGGTCTCCCTGTAGACCCAGCTGTACTGGAACTTACTGTGTAGACCAGGCTGGCCTTGAACTCACAGAAATCCACCTGCCTCTGCCTCCTGAGTGCTGGGTTAAAGGCATGCACCACCACACCCAGCTTAAGATACTTTTTAAGATGCTTAGTGGCAATAACACAGTAAAACAGGCATCACCCTATCAAAGGACGGACATACTGTCCTTTCTTCACTTAGCAAAGGCCCTCGCTGACAATGGACATGCAGCTGCATTTTTAATCTTCTAAGTGAACAGTTGGAATCATTTTGGTTGTTAACAGCAGTTTCTACACTATTCATCATCAGCAAGGATAAAACATTTTATCTGCTTGATAATGCTTACATCATTGCAGGAAAAACAATGTTAAAAAACAATGAATTTTATAGCATGGAGAGCATATAATTGCAATAATAAATGAACATGTACATAAAATCTAGATGATGATGGGGTAATTTATTAAATTTTATGACTAAAATACTTCATTACAATGTTCAGGTTCATTTACATAAACTTTTGCTCCTCTCTGCTCACAATTACTTTTCTTTCAGCAAGTCTTATTTACTGTGGGTAGGGATGCTATGGCTCCAAGGTTCTCCATGACCCTGCTAGGAAGCCTGTAGGACTTAACACCAGTGACACTTCTTTATTATTTCTTTCTTTATGTGATTAACATAATTCACCTGTGATAAGGTATATGATATGGATAAATTAGAAACACTATAGTTAATGTGATTCTCTTTTTATAGTTAAAAACAGAATTGCGTAAGATTTACAAAAACTTTAAGAGAAAACAAAAGCATTTCAGAACAGATGTTAATATTAGTTTGGTTACAAGAGTGGAAAAAAAAAGATCCTACCTGTTGAATCAAAGTTCACCTCATTGCCAGGACTTGGACCTATATCAATGGACACAATTGGTATGAGCTTCCGGAAGTCCCATAGCTTTGTAACTCCATGGGCATCACAGATTTACAAAAACTTTAAGAGAAAACAAAAGCATTTCAGAACAGATGTTAATATTAGTTTGGTTACAAGAGTGGAAAAAAAAAGATCCTACCTGTTGAATCAAAGTTCACCTCATTGCCAGGACTTGGACCTATATCAATGGACACAATTGGTATGAGCTTCCGGAAGTCCCATAGCTTTGTAACTCCATGGGCATCACAGGATGCTATTATGTGACCCTTTAAAAGATAAAATTAAAGAAATACATTACAT